ACAGACACGGGCATACCGAACGAGTTGGGATATATAAACACCGTAAGATGGTGTAAAGAGGAACATCGGCGTCCAAAAAAGGAAAATTAACAATAGGGAAAATCATCCATTTTGTCATAAATATTTGTGTAGAGTTTCAAGTGTAAAACTGAAATTTTTAAATCTAGGAAAGGACACATATTGCTGTTAATATTTGATTCATGTAAGGTAAGTTTCTGTGAGTAAATTTTGGCAGTATATTTAGAGAATTCTTGATTATTTAACGAAAAAATGTCATCAAGATAACGGTAAGTGTTGTTGAATTTATCAATTAAATGGAATTTAGACGGGTCTTTACTGAGTTTGGCCATAAACTGTGATTCATAACAGCACAGGAACAAGTCTGCTATCAAAGGGGCACAATTGGTGCCAATAGTAATACCTACAATCTGTCGATAAACTTACATAACTGTTGTCTAGGAGAAAATTTATGGCTCCAGTGAGTATATCTAGCATATTTAACTTTCTCGTATGAGAAAAAGGCTTTATATGATGTGTACGGATTGATAATTTAATCTTAGATGCATGATTATTTTTATTAGTTGTTAGTGGCTTAGAACTAGCTGTCAGTAACTGCGAGTACTCTCAGATCTGTACTTAGTGTCTTTTTGTTGTTTGGATGTACAAGTACCCGGCCACGTCCACTTGTATTTGTAGTATTTGTATTTTTATCCATCTGATGAGTTAAGCCTCTTTCAACTGATTTTTATAGTTCGTTCTTATGTAGTTCTGTTACACCACTGTCCCAGGTTAGGGGGAGTGTTAGGATCCGCTAACATGTTTAACCCCGCCACATTCTGTATGTATGTGCCTGTGCCAAGTCAGAAGCCTGTAATTCAGTGGTTGTCGTTTGTTTATGTGTTACATATTTGTTTTTCGTTCATTTGTTGTACATAAATTAGGCCATTAGTTTTCTCGTTTGAATTGTTTTACATTGTCATTTCGGGGCCTTTTATAGCGGACTGTGCGGTATGGGCTTTGCTCATTGTTGAAGGCCGTACGGTGACCTATAGTTGTTAATTTCTGTGTCATTTGGTCTCTTGTGGAATGTTGTCTCATTGGAAATCATAACACATCTTCTTTTTTATATTTATATGAGTTGCAGCAAATAAATTTAGAACCGGTTGGATTTAGAGCTTGATATATTGTATATTCATTTGCCTTCGTTGATCTATAGATGTCTTTAGGGAACAATTGTCGCTGAGTTACTGTCTCGTTGACATAAACCTCTATTCTCCTATTATTCGTTTCTTTTATCCATAATTGTATGTGGAGTTCGATTTCATGTGCATCATATGTAATTAAAAAAAAACTCCATCGAAAATGGGTAGCCAATAACACATAATCTGTAACCAAAAAATATCTTTCAATGCTAATTAAAACGTAATGTAAATCTAGTGTTGGATTTTATCTGCAAACCGGGAAGTTAAAAGGGTTTGTTGCATATAAAAAAGAAACAATCAACGGATATGAAATGAAACAATATCATATTGTTCATCAGACAATATCCATTGATAAAGCAATGTGCCCGTTATTTGATATTATTTGAATATCAATTCATTTCTTTTTTTACCTTAAATTGACCTCAATATTCCACAAAATATAGATAAATTATATGTGGTAATTTTGTAACTATTTGTAAATTAAATTTCAAACTTCAAGTTAAGTAGAACCGATTTCTTTTACCACGTTTAGCATATTTTCATTTTGCTTTGTACAATCCTAATGTTCTAAAATCATACCCAATAAGTTTGGTTTAAAAAAAAAGCTTTGTACATAGCCACAAAATTCTATATTTACACATTAAACAGCGTAATAATTTCACATTAAACCATGCAAAGTTCGGACTCCTAAGATGTAAAAAGCAACATTTTAAATCAAGTTGATGTCCATTAATGAATTTTTATGTCGATTTGACTCACTGAAAACGTAAATAATACTTAATATATGATTTTTATTTTGTTAGCAACATAGTCGTATTATTCTAACTACTAAAACATGAATTTGTTGAAGCTATCGTCTTTACAGAGAGTTGCATGGAATCTGTGATTTTCAATTTCGTCGGACCTGTTTACAGATTGGAAAAGATTTGTCAAGTTTAATTGTGGTCTGGACATCTGACAAAACTTTACTTAACAGACGCGGTCCGATATAATGCCGGTATGAAACGGATCAAAAATGCCTTAAAATTACCAAGAATATCAGTTGGAGGGAGATATCGTCTATTTAAGGTCAGATTATTGATTGTACGATTGTAGTTGAACCGTTTTATATTTGTCACAGATACTTGAGACATGGAACTTCAATAACTTCATCAATCTTTAGTACATTTATGAATGTTTTTTTGAAAACTATGGTTCTATTTCCTTGAAGAAACCTTGATTTGATTATTCTTTTTATCAATCGTTTTTCTATATGATGTAGGCTTTTAGTAGTTCTTGCTTAAAGTAATTAATGGTAAAACAATGTCAGAGAAATATTAACATCGGGCTATATGGGTACCTAATGGTAGATATAAACTGTTAAAGAGATTTTAAAAGCTGACTATACGGTATCGGTTTTTCTCATTGTTGGAGGCTGTACGGTTGGCATATTTGCTTACATCCACTTCATTTAAATTTGAGTTGACAGCTGTCTCATTGACAATCATACCACATCTTATTTTTATATGGTAATCATGTTGCATTTATTTTTAAAAAAATATGTTAATTTTTACCCGGTTAATCCTTGTGTATGATAAACACATGGAAGTATTATATTTCATTTTACTTCCATGGATAAAACTACCACAGCGTTGCACTGTGAGCCATGGTTATTTATAATTGCTTCGATAATGTGTGACTATTCGTTTCGGTTGACTTCTCAGATAATCCCTTTATGGAAATGTAAATAACTTTCATTAAACAATTGTCAAAAGTTAAACGAAAGTTAATCAGATACTCTTAATATATTTTCCTTGACAAATTTTACATTTTTTATAGATAGGGCAAAGAGGTTTGATAATACTTTTTGGAACTCGTACACATGCAAACAATTCCTAAAACAGTGATTTTTGATAATGAAAAATATTAAAGATTAAACTAATATGTACCAATAGTTAAATAGAAATCACGCCCCTTTTGGAGTAGATTTTTAAAGTTTATCGAATTGCAGAGACAAATATTGTTAAAGAACATTTTTGAGATGTATTACTAATCATCATATCTTTAGAGACTGTATGAAAAAATACAGGATTATTAGAAAGCCAGATTGCAAAATGTTTATGACTTGCACATTTTTCCAGTTACAACAATTATTCTATCAATATATAAATAAAGGCAACAGTAGTATACCGCTGTTCTATAGTCAAAATAGACTTGGTACAGGACATTTAAGAAAAAAATGGTGGAACCAATTAAATGTTAAAAATTCTTTCGAAAATTTATTGATTTATTTAATGCAGTAGACATACAATATTACATTAAAAGACCAGAAAAGGACATCTATCAAGCTTTGCCGATTTTATTCATAAAGGGAGGCAACCCTGACAAACACAGAGAATTGTCGCTCGTCTTGCACAAGAATTTTTAAAATCTTAACTCGACTGAACACAGTCTTACAAAATCTATACAGAATATTTACCCTTGGTCTGAATTGGGATGAACGTGATCTTATCAAGTCTTAATCGTACGCTAGAACCTTCCGTCTTGTTTATCTTGACATTATTGATCGGACGAAACAGCGTCTGAAAGTCTGAAAATGTCTTAACGTTTTTTTCTTGCAGTAAATTCAGTCAATTAAGACTTGATCAGACCAAAAATGACCTTTTTAGACTGAAATCTTGCTACTAGTGAACACATCTCGAATATTCAAGTTGAAAAGTACATCCTTTGCCTTTCAAATTTTTAGTTTAAGCATTCTTGTTGAAGTTAAATCTAGAAGCATAAGGATATCATTCTAAAATAAGGACTAAAAGAAAAAAAACTTGAACTGTGTACAAAGCATTTCCCTTGCAACCGCAAAATTCACTAATTAGTTGAAACCAAATATAATTATCAGGAAGTAGAGCAGTTCAATGATAAAGTGGAACATCAAATATGTACTAATTAGGATTTATATGTTTGTTCAAAAACATGAACATTTGCGCTAATTAGTCATAATCAGTCAAAATCATATGATGATAAAAGTATATAAGAATGTATACTGTGTATTACACTATATAACCAAATAGAGAGAATATTAACATTATCAACTCCTTCTATTAACTATGTAAGTACCATACATAACATGCAAACTATAGCAAAGTTGTTGTAATAATGTCCAGAGAAAAGCTCTGAATCTGAATTGTTTAGTCTAATTTTCAAATAAATGCAACGTATTTAATAGTAAAACGCATAATATGAAATGTCATGCATTACAATAGTTTAGTATATTATTTTAGTATAAGTTCGAAACATGTATTGTCAAAACCTTTAGAGGGAAAACTGCATTTTCGTTTTCATTTTGGAAAATGTTGTTTAAATCAATCGAAAATTTATAACAACATTAAACAAGCTTCAGTAACTTCTAGTTTAGTATATTTTGTTTTCTATTGCAGAAAGAATTGAAGATCTAAAAATGACGTCTATGTTTAACATGACATTAACATGCCTAAGTATATCAAAGTCAACATACTTGAACAGTAATGTAATTTTCATTATCCTGTTTATATCAGCGTCATCATGTACTACTGTGTGTGAAGAAAATTGTCGTTGTTGGGTAATGAAAAATGAACTACACATAGACTGTTCCAAGACAAATTTAACATTTGTACCACATTTTCCAACAAATGGCAGTTATCTTTACTTACAAAATAATTTGATCGATAGATTGGAAAATCGGGCTTTTCATAATCTTCGACATTTGATATCACTGGACTTAACATCTAATAAACTGCAAAATATAGAACGAGATGCATTTGTAGGACTTGAAAACCTTCAGCGATTAATTTTACAAAACAACAAATTATCATACAAGAACTCCTTCCCACGTGATGTATTCGATCCTTTGAAATCACTTGTATACTTAAATGCTAAATTTGAAAATGAAGATTTAGAGAATTTTCCAACTGGAGTGTTAGTAGCCTTACACGCACTGGAAGAACTACATATAGATGCCAAATATCCTAAGCCGTTCGGTATGGAATTCCGAAAGCTTCAACGTTTGCGAATATTACAGATTGGATATTGCACCCTAAATAGGGCAGACAGTGAAACATTTGCTAATATAAACTACTTGGAATATATGGATTTGTCAATGTGCAGTATCGAGAAATATAAATATGGTTTCGAAGATATGAAATCTCTCCAGTATTTAAAGTTGGGAAATCCAACGTTTTTTAACAGTGATGTTTATCATATGGTTCAAGACTTGGAAACGTCCAATATTGAAATTTTAGTAATGACGAATTTATTTTACAAAGTTCTGAAATTTCCGAACGTAGTATTCTACTGTTTGAATAGCACAAATATTCTTGAGTTGTATATTAACTACAATGGGCTTCGGCGAGTAGTTAGAGATGAACAATTTAATACATTTCCTACAACGTTGAAAATTTTAGATATGTCAAACAACATGATAAAGGAGTTTTTATTTGACATTCCTTATCTTATCCAACTAGTCTTGAGAAACAACTCTTTAGGAAATTTTCTTTCCGTTCAGAGCTACACAGTATCCTCATCTTTGAAACTACGACATATAGACTTATCCCAAAACTCTATATATAGATTAAAATATTCGTTATTCAATGGGCATGATCATCTAGAAAGTATTAATCTTAGTAGAAATTTTTTGCAAGAACTTTCCTTTGACTTGTCAAAGCAAAAGGATTTAAAGGTGCTGGACTTATCACACAACTTTATACGACAAATCAACCAAACATTTATTTCATGTATTAGTAAAATATTCGTGCGTTCAAATCTAATTATTAACTTGTCAAATAACTTGCTTGAATGCAGTTGTCGTACATATTTAACTATGAAATGGATGTTAGAAAATATCAACCATTTTCTTTATTCTGAAACATATAAATGTCAATATGATGACAGACGATTGATTCTTCTCAACAATTTCAAAGAAATAGTTCAACAAATGGAAAAGACTTGTTCTTCACATTTGATTCTTATAGTTTGCGTCTCGATTTTCGTCGCAACCTTTTGTCTCATGATTGCTATTGGGCTCGTATACCGCTATCGATGGAAACTACGCTACATATATTACATGGCAAGAAGTAAATACAGGCAATATAAACCTGTAAATTCTAATTCAACGTACACTTACGATGCTTTTATTTCTTACGCTGATCACGAAAGGGATTTTATAATTAACGAATGCATCCCAAACCTTGAGCAGAAATGGAAATTAAAGTTATGCATTCACCACAGAGACTTTCTACCTGGTGAAGAAATTACGGTTAATATTACAAATGCCATTCATGACAGTAGAAAGACGATTTGTTTAGTGACACGATTATTTCTCGAATCTTACTACTGCATGTTCGAGTTTAACATGGCCAGGATGGAGAGTATTTACTCTCGAAATGGAGAAAACATTTTGTTTCTTGTTTTTTATGACCGAATTTTGCCCCAAGAACTTTCCCTTGTCATGCTTGAGCTTGTCCAAAATCAGTCATACATTGAATACCCACATGATGACCAAGGGAATGTTGTATTCTGGGAAAAAAATAGAGAAAGCTGTTACCGGATAGTTTATGAATTATTGTTTGAATGCTTTCTATAATTTTAAAATAATTGATAAAAAAAAAAATGAAATGAAAGGGAATTTAAAAATATTTTGATCCGTCAAAACACAACAACGATAACAATATTCAAAACTAAAAACAAACGTTGAAGAGATGATCAAAGCAAATATGATCTAAAGTATAGCCAAATCCGGAAAAGGAATGGGAGATTTCTATGAGGAAGATACATTTCTGAATTTAAAATGATTTTTAAATTTTATAAAAGTAAATTTCTATACATAAGGATGTATAAAAATTTTGGACAATAAAACAGAATACATCATCACCCAACAACCCACTTCTTTGAGTAAATAGATGTACTTTCAAAGACGAACAACAACAACATGATATGGTCAATTATAAAGTCATGTATTTTGTTACCATAAATTACTTAAAACGTTCACTAACTTGTTTCTTAGATACACTAATTTGGCTTGCAAGTTTGAATTGGCTATACTTGTAAAATCTTATAACAAACGGTATATCACATTCTCATTTTTACAGAGATTTTCTTTATAGAACACGTAAATTTAGTTACGATCCATGTCATGTGTTTATACGTTTCCTTAAAGATTACCAATTTAACACTGTAATTAGATCATTGATTTTTGTCTTTATCGATAAAACCATTCAATTTTTTTTTGATATGCCAGCTAACAACTGGCACTTATGGTAGAAGCATCGAATTGGAATAAAGAACGATAACTCTCTCTACATGACCCATCTGAAAAGTTTCGTCACTTTCGTTAAATCTCGTACGATTATTTTATTTTAATGGCTACCAGGTTCTCGTTTTAATCGCGCACTTGAAAAAACGGGACAGAACGGAACAAATTCGAATTAAATACGACATGAATTTTTATTTGTTTACAAAAACAAGAATAAACAAATTTTGGTAATTTGTGCAGTTTATTTAAATTTTATTGAACCACGGAAATAACCGAATTTTGGACGAACAAGTAACCTTTAACCTATCTTACGTGATGTTTATTTTATTGTCTGCTTCATCTTTCCATAGTCAGTGACAGTGCAAGCAAATTTCCAAAATAATTACAGGTACTTCATTTAAAAGTCATAATATCATAATGAATGATCACATTTATAGTATAAAAGTTCCGTCCAGCCATGGGAACACAGAAAAACCCTCCGCAAGCAATAATTTTCGGGGAGAAACGTAGTTCATATGCAGAGGTAGTAAAATCCGGTGCTCTGGTTGACCATGACTACTATTATTCATCTGATAGAGAATTCCCCATATCAAGTAACAGTGATAATGACGTTGATTATACTGTCGTAGGTGATCACGGTTATTTATGTAGCTCACAGACAAATGCAGGTGAAATTCCCAAAGTACCAAGTCAGGAATATGACAGTTGTTGTTCATTCATTCGTTTGATGTGTTTGTGCTTTTGATTTTGCCATTTGATTAGGGATTTCCGTTTTGAATTTTCCTCGGAGTTCAGTATTTTTGTGATTTAACTTTTGCCCAATAACATTTCTATTCTATTCAGCAGCAGTCTCCAACTTCACAGAAGCTTTCAAAAGTTAACAAAACAAAAAATTTAAACTCAAATTCAAAATCTGCTAGTTCTGTACTTCCTTTGGCAAACTTAGATTCACTGCCCTCAACAAATCTTGTCATTAATAATGACACGTATTTATCTTATACAGTCCCAGAAGAAGGAAACTGTTTTTGTCACTCTCTAAGTTTAAACATACAGGGAGACTTGAGTCTGAGTGATACATATAGGTATATTTTATGCTCCCATATTGTCCAAAATTGGATTTTATGGGAAGATAGAGTTATGATAACCCATGAAAATACCATGACTTTAGATAGGTATATACAGGGCATGTTACTTGGAAGTATGTGGGCTACATCCAGTGAAATTCAAGCTGCTGCCACATTATTTGGATGCAATATAAATATTTGGCTCCCGCAGTCGCCTGTATATTCTATGCGTCAGTTTAAACCTGATCAAAACATTTTCACTCTACCAGATGTGGATATACCTTTATCAGGTGCACATTTCAACCCTTTAAAGAAATCAACACCTATGGCTATACCAACTTCACCACTACAAATTAATTTTCATGACCAAAAGAAAAAACTACCAACCAAAAAACAAAAACTTGAAAAGAAAGTGTACCACAAAAAAATCAGCTCCAAACCAAAAAGCAAGAAATTACATAAAACTGCCTCTGAATTAGTACATGAAATTGATGTAGAAAAACCACAAACAGAAGATGATCATGAATACATTAATACTGCTGAGCACAAATTTCAAATATCATCCAAGAAAATAGCAAAATCTTTAGATCATCAACTTAACAATCCTATTTATGGTTCCTTAGGCTTAGATGAAAATAAAAACCTGATCAAAACAATATTCTAAACAGGCTCACTATAAATTCAAACTCTTCTTTTAAAAATCAGTATGATCCTCTTGCTGGTCAAATATATATGAGATGCAGGAAACTGAGAATACAATATGAACACCCAGCTAATTTAGAGAGTAAAAATAATTTAGCAAACAGAAAGCGTCGTTTGCAATACAAAATTAAAAAACAGCTACAACTTCTAGATATTGATGAAAAAGATATTCCATATCCTCCACCTCTTCATGAAAATCAATAATTTAATAAAGTTATGGATTGTATTCGTAGTATTGAAATTAAACAAATGTCTTATTGTTTAAAATTTTGTAATATTTGCAAAGAAAGAAAAATGGATATGAAAATGGCACAAGATAATGAATGTAAGCATTGTCATTTAGATAAATCACCAATACAATTATTTTCGGCAGAAAACAATATGGACCCTAAACATATTCCATCCGAACTTGCCGATTTATCTGTTGTTGAACAACAACTTATATGTAGAATCTCACCTTGTATAATTGTTCACATGTTAGGTCATGGGGGTATTGCTTCTGGTGGGCACTGTGTTACTTTCCCACAAGAAGTAAATGAACCAGCCAAAATCTTTCCTAGACTTCCTGAAGAAATTATTATTATTCGTGTACGGAAGCAGGGCAAAAATAAAACAACTAAAGATTTTGTAGTAAGAATGCTAAAAAAAACAAACTACTCTTTTTTTTTAAAACAGTACAATCCAGCTTATTTTGACATTATTATTATTAAATAAAGGTTAGCTGCATTGCCTATTGATGGTGAACGGTCAGACATATAAACAGCTGAATACAAGGCCAATACTGTTCATATTTCGTAACAAGATCTGACAGGGAACCACATAATCTGATAAATTCATTTGTAGACAGTTCTATTTTGGGGCATTGGAAAGTGTAAGATATAATAGTGATAGTCTAAACTTGAAAATATCACTCAACAACCTTTTTTCAATTTTAGACAAAAACTATATGTAGAGACATAGTGAATTATAGGCTTGGTTAGCTGGTATTTAAGGTAGCGCCTTCCTCATATTAGATTAAAACACAGCTTTATATGTATTATTATACAGTTTTGAACCCTTAAGGTCCTACATCCTGTCTATACTTATATTTTAGCGTTGCAAAAGGTCATGAGCTTCACAGACTGTTTACGACGTCTTTACATACAATCCGTTTAAACTGAACTGATTTATGTTATTGGGTTATTCGTCTGTTGAATGGCTTCGAACGAGCTTAGAGTAACTGAGATTTCTCTAAGATCGGTACTATGTGTATATTTATCCTTTTGTTCAGGTTTTGTACTGCTTCTTATCGAGCAAGGACTAAATCTGTGCATTAAGATCATAAAAACATACATACTGTATACGGTATATACACCTGTATATTGTCAAACACTGGTGTATATCAAACGTTACCTTTTATTCATAGATAAAAAGTTTTTAAATACTTACTGCCTTGTACATTAAGTTGTACAAACGATTACAGTACAACATTATGGTTAAAATTGGCAAGGTGGAGGGATTGCTGAAGTGCTGACTTTATACAGTCAATTTATTCGAAAGGTGAATTGTTGGTTCATTGAGGCATAACAGATCGAACTAGTTTTGAATAACTTTGATTTATAGAAATACTTATGACGAATGTATGTAAATTACAAAAACATAACATGTCTGTTGATTGTAAAAAATACATAGGATTGAATAATATATTTATAACATGAGGCCTTCGTATTCATTGGTAACAATCAGGAAACATGTGTGTGGCGGTCATCCCTTTTGTTGTAATATTAACGAGAGTCAAAAGATTATTTTTTTATTTTTATTTTGTTGTCGTTTTTCATCTATCATGTCTATATAATTGCAAAATTTCCTATTTATTTTACGTCATGTTTTGTCATTGCTTAAATCATGTACAGTCATATTTGAACAATTTACAACATGCTTATTTCCGTCTTATATTTTTGTGAGCTGCTTAATCATCGAAGTGAACTACTTGTTGAACAGAACTGCTTACAAATCTGACATATTTAAGTCAACTGCACATTTAAGATTGGTTCTTATTGCTCAAACTTTTATTTTCTGTGAAGAGTGGACTGTTGTTTATCCTTTTGTCTTTTTTTTTCCTTTTGGTCGTTGCTATTCTTCTTTCACTTTTTGATTTTGATTGTCATCTTCCTCTCCCTTTAGAGTTTTCATCATGTATTTAATATAATAAATGAATAGTTGTTTTCATTTACGTATTTATGGTCCGTTTCTGTAATAAACATTTTGGTATTACATTCGAAGTCGAAAATGCATCCCATAGTAGGATGTCAACACTATACTATTCCAGACATTTTCAGAATATAACTGATTAAAAGCATAACTTAAACAAAATCACAAAACCACAATTAGTCAGAACCTACTGCAATATCTAATTATCGACTAAAACACGTTTTAATCTTTTTTCGTATGTTCATATACCTTGAATAAAAGCTTTTTTGTGCAGTTTGCATTTTGCATCTATTGTGTTCCCTTGAATATTTATCTTAGTTTCTTATAAAAGCATAGTAAAGAAATATAATTAGTTTAGACTATATTAAATCATCCCCTGTATTGTCTGGGTTTTTTTTTACTCTACCTACAATTACGAATTGATACTCACACTAGGACATTTAGAAATGTATTCACTCATGATGATATATTAATGAAAAAATATGTTTGCAATGCAATTCAGCCTCTTAATATTGCGTATGCAATGTAAAATGATTAATACAAAATAAGTCAAATTAAATTCATAATAATCTACATCCGTTTCGGAAAACCCTGGTGTTAAACTTTTATTGTGATAAAAAATAACTTCTTTATGTTTCGTTCATTTTAGTTTCCATTAGGACACGTTAGATTATACATAAACAGGATGGGAGCAAGTACCAAAAATATATATATTGCAACAGATCTACAGCTACCAAAACGCGACACCTTCGCCAAAAAACACGTATAAAAAGCAAACAAACAGCTCATGGTATAGATAATCAGACTTGGAACAGACACAAAAAATGGTGGCGTT